CATCAGGGAAAAGCAACGTAAAACAACATAGAGATATCAATACACACTTATTAGAATGGCCAAACTCCAGAACACTGAAAACACTAAAAGCTGTCAAGGATGTGGAACAACAGGAACCCTCATTCATATGCTTGTGGAAGTGCAAGTGGTGCATCCAGTTTGGAAGAGAGTTTGGCAGTTTCTTACAAAATTAAACAGATTTTTGCCATCTAATCCAGCAACTGTGCTCCTTGGTATTTATCCCACGGAGCTGAAAACTTATGTTCACACAGAAAAACTTCATACAGATGTTTCTAGTAGCTTTATTCATATGGTATACTTCTAATTAATAAATGTGAATACTAAAATAAGTGAAAGCCAAGACTGAATCTCAGAGTTTGAATGGAAGAGAATTAGTAAGCAGAAGGAAAATACCAGTTTTGTGTGGCTCCCAAAGTGACTACTGGAAGGAAACAAGCATGAGGATTATGGGTGGGAGTTTTTTGTGGGCCAGAAAATGGTTCACATAATTTTGCCTATTTTGCATTTGCCAGAATTCAGTCACAAATAAAAAACAACAGGAAAAGAGCCAGGATCAGCAAGAATGGGTTCTCCAGTAGCCAAGAATATTAGGTCTAGGTAATATTTATGTCTGTCCTAGATGGTTGGAAGGTTGAAGATAAAAAGAATGAATGAAAAAAAAAATTGAGGGGGGAGACAAAAAAATTGCAAATAACAATAGGCAGGAACTATAAAGAGCTAAATCTAAAACAAAATACTAAGGGGACACGGGGAATAGGGTATGAGTACCAGTAATGAAATCTGGAAAATACTGCTAGAACTAGACTGTGAAGGAAAACTGGAGCTTTGGAAGTTGGATTTAGGGATAAAAGTCATTCTCTATAGACAGAGATGAAATGGTTCCAGATGTGCAATGAAGAAATAAATAGCCCAGGAAATTCTGAATGGAGAGTATCCATTCAAGGTCATAGTTCAGGAGCCATCTGACAAACTAGACTAGGTCAGTTGGTTTGCGACTGCAGCAACTTCAGCAAATATTGGCATCTACACAACCTTGCTTATTTAATTTCTAAAAAGCAAAACCAAAAACAAACAAACAAAACCTTTCCTTTTCAATTTTATATTCCTAAAACCGAGTGACTCAATATTGTATTAAATTACTTTAAATCACTTTTGCAAACACCATTTATAATACAGAATTTTTCCCCTCATTATTATATATGTACACATTTTATAATAAATTCCAAATAAAATGTTAATCTGAAGGGTGAGTATACATGTACATATAGATGCAAGATACAGATATACTATTCAACATAGCACACTTTGCTCTTCCTAATGATTTATGCCAAATGGATTTAGATATCATTTCAAAGAATCATATCTATCTATCTATCTATCCACTTTCATGCATCTGAATAGGAAATTTATGTGAACAAAACAGAGATAGTATACTTTAATAGGTCCCAAAGAAATGCATAACATTTTAACATATGGAGGTTGTGCTCTAACAAACTTTAATACAAAACAATATTTTGTATATTCACTCACGCAATTTTTTTCCTTTGCAATTTGTGAATTTAAAGAAAAACCAGTTTTATACGTAATTAAAATAATGCTTAAGTCATAAAGCTCTTTTGTAATACTCAAAACTAAACCTTATTTATACTTATGTGTCAGGAACTTTACATGCATTAACTTATTTAACACTTAGAACCAGTCTATGAGGTAGATGTTTTTACAGGTGCAGAAACTGAGCCTCAGAAACATTTGAAAACTTCTTCGAGGTTATACAAATAGCAAATGGTGGAAACCACAATTTTACCCATATTACATTTTTTTCAGAATCCATGCTTTTGATCTCTTTGCCAAGCTGTTTCCCATATTATATCTTTTATATTAAAATTGTTTGCAGCAACTGCATTTTCTTAAAACTTTCCTAGTATTAAAAAATTTTTAATTTATCTTATTGGGAAAAGCGCAAACTTTTTCACTCATTTCTTCATGTCAGGTATTAAAGAGTCATGAAGTAAGTTTATTTCTATCATATGAGCTTCATTCTATTTTGAGTCCAAAGACCAACTGAGAATGCATAAAAAGATTATATATGGAATACCACTGGGTCTTGCTAGCAGTTTCAAAGTTATGTAAGGAAACAGTGCTGAGAAACCACATTCATTGCCAGTTCTCAGCACAATTGGCTACCAGGAGTCATGTATAGTAAGTGCTATAGCTCAGTACCTGCACAGTCTCACCTTTTTGGCTAATGAGTAACATTCTAGCAAGCAGAGGACTGATTTGCGAGACAGTTGCCTGAAATTTAATGCTAGATTTCTATCCATACCAATATAACTTTCAGCTGATAGTACTTCCACACACAGACAAATGAAACTGACAAAAGAACTGTCAGTTACAAGCCAATAATGCATTTCAACAAATAATTTTTTGTGTGCCAGGCACATACTGTGGGTATTCAGTGTTCATACCAAAACCTCACAAGGTTGGCCTATTTTGACTTTTATCACATCTATAGATAAAAGTGTAGTGTTATCTTTCTTTCCCACCCCAAACTGTACTCATCTTTTTATTGCAAATACCTGGCTAAAGGAAATGTCAAACTTTATATATAGAACTTACTTGAATAGCTCCTACATCAAAGTGCTGCTTTCTTAGAAGCTCAAAACTGTTAATATGTATTGACTTAGCAAAAAGAACTCTAATGGTAAAGGCATCGCTTTTGAGAGAGAGAGCCCATGTTTGGAACAGGAGAAAAAATATATACATTTTTCTCTAAGAAAACAGAGCAGAGATTCAATATAGAAAGGATAAGCTTAGCAGATATACAGCTTATAGGACAAATTAATACAAATTAAATAGAGTATATTGCTAAAGAGGACCTGGGGTCATAAATATAATATAGACCAAAAAAAAAAAAATTCCAACACGGAAGAAAGATTCATGGATATAAATTCAACTGAGCAAGAACAAAGCAAATTGTTCAGAGTTCAGCTGTCATTCCTTGCAAGATAAGCAAGCAGCAGAGTATCGAGGTGAGTTAATAAGCAGAGTTAATAAGCAGCAGAGTATCAAGGTGGCATTGTTTAGCTTTGTTAGTGGATACATATAAGTCCTGGAACAAGGTTTGTAAAATGAGGAGAGTCCTGAAGATTAAAAAGGAATCCTTATTAGGAGAGAAGTTGCCCAGTACTGGTCATCTAACATTAGGGTAGAAAACTTCAGACCACTTTCTTCTCTGCGTGTTACAACCACACAGTTGACATTTTAGGAACTAAATCATTCTTAATTTGCATAAAGGCTTTTTCATTGTTGTTCTTTTGTTACACAGTCAAAATGCTTTAAAATAACACACCTTCTTCCTGTTTGTTTTGCTCTTCAAGAGAAAAGTAAGCATCCCTTACTGTTTTTGCACTTCCCTTCATCTGAACTGCAAATTTAAGGTAAGCAGGAATCTTCAAAGCACGAAAAGCATTTTCACTCTGAAAGACTTCTTATCTTGGAAGAAATAAGATTCCAGGATAATAAAAATCTATCGTGATATCTATTCTCTCTCTTACTTGACAGGGATTTTCAAGATGGATCAGCAAGATAGAAAGGGAATTTATTCATTCTACCAATATTTATGAAGAAAAGGGCATTTGGGAGGAAAATGGATATTGGATCCTCCTCAAAGTTGCTATAGAAACCTGGGTGATTACAGCTAATGGCGTGGGGAGAAGTCCTGTTATCTTTAAGAGATTAACAGGAAACCTTGGTCTCATTATTTTTTCACTCCCCACATTGTTCTGATGATAGCAATGTACAGATTAGAACCAATAAACAACAATAATAACCAAACAACACCTTCGATGTCTCCTTATTATTTATAAAGTAAAAATATAATTTTGAAAATTCACCTTCAAAAGCTTCCATCAACAAATCCCACTCCAACCTTCTGAAATAACACCTTATTCTTCACAACTATATTCTTTGATTTAGCATATGCCATATTGATAACATATCCCTATTTATTTCCACCTTTATGTTTCTGTTCATACTCTCCTCTCTAAAGAAAATGGTTTTATCTAACTCCACATATATTCATCTCATCCAGAAAAAAAAATGCTAATTACTTTTTTCAATAATTATTTCATACTACAAGAGCTAAAGTAGCCTCTGTCTTCTAAATGCTCATTCCACATTATCTGGACAAGTTCTCAATGTCCACCTGTGATACGGTTATGTATATTTGTTGTCAGTGTTTTTCCCCATGTTTACAAATATCATTGTATGTAATGTTCTCATAGCAACCAGTTTTCAAAGAATTGCTAGCTGGGAGTCAATAGCAAGAGCATACCAATCTTTACAACATATACAGTGTCAACCCAAGTGGATCTTTCATGATTCAGTTTTCTCTTAGCACCTTGAACTATGCACTGTATCACACAGCTGGCTATATCACACCAGTGTGAGATTATATACTATTTGTATTGGTCTCTGCTTTTTTTTTTTTTTTTTTGGTTTAAGTACAAAATTGTGTGATGCCAAAGGTGAACATCTTCAAAGTCAGAGCTATTGAAAATTAAAAACTAGCTCAGATATTAAATAGCCCCACATATTTGGATAAACTACCAACCATCCTAGAGCCTTAATTTCTTTCTACAACAGAAATAAAACCATTTTTCTTACAATATTTTTGTGAAGATTAAATTAGATGATTCACATTAAGAATCTAGGACATGGAAAGTCCTCAAATGGATGCCAACATCTGATGAGCAATACTGTCAGAAGATTCCATAATTCACTTTGAAGATTTCTCCAAAGTGTATAGCAATACTAAATCCAGGTGGCACACCATTAATGCACTGACCATATGTGATCTAAGCAGGAATAAGAACATGGTTTCATGTTTTAAATATTATTTCTGAAATGAGAAGCATTATTATGCAATGGATAGAATTCAGTTTCTTATTATCTGTTTCTAGTTCACAGATACTACTTACTAGTTGTGTGACTTTGAGACAGGTCCTTTACTTCTTTGATTCTTCATTTCTTCACCTGCAAAAATGAGGACATTGGGCTAGATCCATTATTTTACATTAATTTTTAAAAAGTATTGGTTTCTTCATTCTGTGAATAAAATTTTATGGAAGTAAAAAACTGAAAGCATTAAAAGCAGAGTTGCTTTGAATAATACAAAGAGAAAATCTAGGACCTCCAACTTTTGGTATAAATCTAGTCTATGGTTAACAGCAGATTCATGAAAAATTGTGATAATCAGTTACTAAGGCTTACTCAGAAAGTATATACAAGAAATGCCAAACTCTAAACCATTACAGTCACTGAATATTACCTAAAGAAAAATAGTCTTTGAAGCTCCAATAATTGTACTGAATACATTGTCTAATAAGCTGAAAATTATAAGGTGAAATTATACAACTTTAATGATTGAATAAAGAAAAAATGTGACTCATAAAAGATAATACACCCAACAAATGAGAGTGATCAGACATTAATATTTTGTGTTTTAAAGACAATATTGGGTGCAAAATTCATATGGATGAGTTATGTCTTCACACTTTTAATATTGTTAAGCGTGTGTCAAGATGACTACAGTATTGTAGAATGGTCAGTGTGCAAATATTATGCAAGAAATCATGTAAGAAATGAAATGTGGCTTTAAAGTCTGATAGATGGTTTTAACATTTTAACACTATAGTTCTGGGCAGTTTACAAAACCTCTCTAAACTGCTGCTTATCTGTCAAATGCAGATAGCAATATTGATCTTCTTGTCATTTGTTTTGTTATTATTAAAGGATATTTTATATAGAAAGCAGCAGCTCATATTGAGTTCCTAAGTAATATTAATTCTTTTTTCCCTGTCCCTTTATGTAATTCCATATGTATTGTTAATATTACCCAGCATAGAGTGTTAAGCAATATTAGCAACTCAACTTTTTAATGGTATCTTTCACAGTGGTCTCTAGCTTTCTAACCTTTTGAAGCTGTTAAAATAAAGTCAAATAATGATACTGCTGTGGCTTAAGTGTATGCTAGGATCAATAAATTGTGGTTCTTGAAATAAATTGCAATTAAAGGGATAGCACTTGATTACTTGACAGTAGGTAGTCTTTTGGCCCAAATAAACTTGAGTATCAGTCTGATTCATAAGCTAATTAGTATGGACTTCACTTGCATTTCACTGGAAGACCATCAGATTGTATTGACTCCTGTCCACATCATAAGTTATGCCCCTGATGTTGACCTGTGTCATTTATAGGTAACTAATCCTCTTCACTTCTTTACTTTGCTTATTCGAGATTATAGTCAGCATTTTTAATAAAGTAGAATATAGAAGAAATTTAACATCTTTGTAAATAAGCACATTAACAGCTCTAAAAACTTCAATACTGTTGCCTGCCTTTTTACATTTCTATACATTTAGGATGAAATATGCCTTAATTCAGATATGACAAAGGCATCAACATTGTAAAGAATGATGATTGTTACTGAATCTTTGTAGCAATAGAAAAATTTATGTAACAACAAATACACTAGAAAACACAACAGGATAGATACTTCATGGCAAATTATTTGAATTAATCTGAAAATAAAGAGTCAAAGTATTGTCCTCAAACATATAAATATACCTACTTAGAGTATAATATTATTTTATTATTCTTAATTTTCAGCACCTTCTATTCCATGTGGTGTTTTGTATTTAATAAATTCCAGCATACACCTGTATCACTATTGAGTGAATATAAGCCATTCAGAGACTAAAGCAAAATAAGTTAAGCAATCCCTTGGACTGTAAATTCCATTAAGATAAACAATGTTCTTGTGTTTTCTTCCTCTATATATCTACTTAGCAGCATATATCCATCCAGAGATTAAATAAATGTTTTGAATGAACAACTTAAGAAGGTTGGATTTCTGAAAAGGGAAAATGTTTAAATATAAAGTATCTTCATTTAAATAGCCTTACCTCCGTACCTCTTGTTTGTTACACACATTTTTTTTTAATATACTCTAAGTTCTAGCGTACGCATGCACAATGTGCAGATTTGATACAAAGGTATACCTCCATGTTGGTTTGCTGCACCCATCAATTCATCATTTACATTAGATATTTCTCCTAATGCTATCCCTCCCCCAGTCCCTCACCTCCTGACAGGCCCTGGTGTGTGATGTTCCCCACCCTGTGTCCAAGTGATCTCCTTGTTCAGTTCCCAACTATGAGTGAGAACATGCAGTGTTTGGTTTTCTGTTCCTGTGTTAGTCTGCTGAGAATGATGGTTTCCAGCTTCATCCATGCCCCTGCAAAGAACATGAACTCATGCTTTTTTATGGCTGCATAGTATTCTATGGTATATATGTACCACATTTTCTTAATCCAGTCATTTGGGTTGGTTCCAAGTTTTTGCTATTGTGAATAGTGCCACAATATACATATGTGTGCATGTGTCTTTATAGTAGCATGATTTATAATCCTTTAGGTATATACCCAGTAATGGGATCGCTGGGTCAAATGGTATTTCTTGTTCTAGGTCCTTGAGGAATCGTCACACTGTCTTCCACATAGTTGAACTAATTTACACTCCTGCCAACAAAGTAAAACCATTTCTATTTCTTTTCTATTTCTCCACATCCTCTCCCGCATCTGTTGTTTCCTGACTTTTTAATGACTTCCATTCTAACTGGCGGTGATGTTATCTCACTGTGGTTTTGATATGCATTTCTCTGATGACCAGTGATGACAAGCATTTTTTCATTTATCTGTTGGCTGCATAAATGTCTTCTTTTGAGAAATGTCTGTTCATATCCTTTGCCCACTTTTTGATGGGGCTGTTTTTTTCTTGTAAATTTGTTTGAGTTCTTTGTAGATTCTGGATATTAGCCCTTTGTCAGATGCGTGGATTGCAAAAATTTTCTCCCATTATGTAGGCTGCTTGTTCCCTCTGATGGTAGTTTCTTTTGCCGTGCAGAAGCTCTTTAGTTTAATTAGACCCCATTTGTCAATCTTGGTTTTTTTTGCCATTGCTTTTGGTGTTTTGGTCATGAAGTCCTCGCCCATGCCTATGTCTTGAATGGTATTGCCTAGGTTTTCTTCTAGAGTTTTTTTGGTTTTAGGTCTAACATTAAAGTCTTTAATCCATCTTGATTTAATTTTTCTATAAGGCATAGGGAAGGGATCCAGTTTCAGCTTTCTACATATGACTAGCCAGATTTCCCAGCACCATTTATTAAACAGATAATCCTTTCCCCACTTCTTGTTTTTGTCAGGTTTATCAAAGATCAGATGTTTGTAGATGTGTGGTGTTATTTCTGAGGCCTCTGTTCTGTTCCATTGGTCTATATATCTGTTTTGGTACCAGTACCATGCTGTTTTGGTTACTGTAGCCTTGCAGTATAGTTTGAAGTCAGGTAGCGTGATGCCTCCAGTTTTGTTCTTTTGGCTTAGGATTGTCTTGGTAATGCAGTCTCTTTTTTGGTTCCATATAAACTTCAGCCTTTTCCAATTCTGTGAAGAAAGTCATTGGTAGCTTGATGGAGATGGCATTGAATCTATAAATTACCTTGGGCAGTATGACCATTTTCACGATATTGATTCTTCCTATCCATGAGCACGAAATGTTCTTCCATTTGTTTGTGTCCTCTTTTATTTCATTGAGCAGTGGTTTGTAGTTCTCCCTGAAGAGGTTCTTCACATCCCTTGTAAGTTGGATTCCTAGGTATTTTATCCCCTTTGTAGCAATTGTGAATGGGAGTTCACTCATGATTTGGCTCTCTGTTTCTCTGTTATTGGAGTTACACACTTTTTAAAAAGCAAACCAAAATCAAATAAATAATGTTCTCATGCCATGCTTTCTGTGTTGTCTCATATTTATGTTATTCATTTTAGATGCTATTATATCTAAAATCATATAAATCTTCTATTATACTATAATAATGTAATTTTATGTTTCTGAGCATTACATCCTTTCTCCCTTCTCATAGAAGGAAATTTGGTGAAGACTAAGGCTAAAAAAGACTTATATTTTTGGTATGCTGAATTCCAATCACCCCCCATTGCATTTGATTCATTTCAAGTGGTCAATAAATATTTGCTGGACAAATTCAAAATTATCAAAATTCAAAATAATCAAAATGATTATAAATTTTAAATATTATTTCAGACAACCTCAATTTACACATGGAAATATATTTTCATAAATTTATAGCAAACTTTTTTTTTGTTTAAATTTTTTATTAGACTTTCAGTTCTGGGATATATGTGCAGAACGTGCAGGTTTGTTACATAGGTATACACGTTCCATGGTGGTTTGCTGCACCCATCAACACATCATCTACATTAGGTATTTTTCCTAATGCTACCCCTCCCCTAGCCCCTACCACTTAACACGCCCCAGTGTGTGATGTTCCCCTCCCTCTGCCCATGTGTTCTCATTGTTCAACTCCCAGTTATGAGTGAGAACATGTGGTGTTTGGTTTTCTGTTCTTGTGTTAGTTTGCTGAGAATGATGGTTTCCAGCTGCATCCATGTCCCTGCAAAGGACATAAACTCATCCTTTTTTGTGGATGCATAGGATTCCCTGGTGTATATGTGCCACATTTTGTTTGTCCAGTCTATCATTGATGGACATTTGTGTTGATTCCAAGTCTTTGCTATTGTGAACCGTGCCACAAAAAACATATGTGTATGTAAGTCTTTATAGTAGAATGATTTGTAATCCTTTGGGTATGATCCCAGTAATAGGATTGTTGGGTCAAATGGTATTTCTGGTTCTAGATCCTTGAGCAATCACCACACTGTCTTCCACAATGATTGAACTAATTTGTATTCCCACCAACAGTGTAAAAGCGTTCCTATTTCTCCACATCCTCTCCGGCATCTGTTGTTTACTGACTTTTTAATGATCACCATTCTAACTGGTGTGAGATGGTATCTCATTGTGGTTTTGATTTGCATTTCTCTAATAACCAGTAGCGATCATTTAACCTCTTTCATATATGATGACACAGAAAATATATAGAATTTAAGCAGTTATTTTGA